CGGCGGGGGCCAGCAGCGGCAGTTCCGAAGGGCGAAGCAGCTCTGACGACTTTGACAGCGTTGGCAGCAGCAGCCGCAGCAGCAGTCGCCACCACCACCACCACCGCAACGACGACGACGATGACAGTGCTAGGATGACGGTGGCGGTGGCGGAAGCGACGTCGGAAGCGGAGGCGGCGGCGGGCGCGATGAAGTTGTCCTCCTTGTCGCCGGTAGGCGGCATCAAGAGGTCCGCGGCGAGAGCACCTTTTGCGGGATTTTTCGCGGACTCTCAAGTTAGAGCGGGAGGCAACGACCGCGGAGCGGAAAGGGTGTCACTCGCCGCTTCGATCGAAGCGGGAATGGCAGCAGCAGCAGCGGCGGGGGTGGGGGCGGGGGCGGGGGCGGGGGCGGCAACAATGGCGATGGCCGCCCCGTCCCCGTCCGACGGCCCCCACGAGGACGCAAGGCAAGCCACGGCTGCAGAGATAATGGAGTCGATCGCTTCGCTGCTGTCGGCTAGGCCGATGACGGCCGTAAGGGCGGCGATGCAGGCGCGCATCGACGGCGAGCTCCGACGCCGTCACCGCTCGCCTCTGGCGGCGACGGCGGGGTACCGCTCGAACCGAGGTGCACCAGGAACCGACCGCGCGGAACACTCGGGAGATAGCGCCCGGACGATGGTGGTGGCGGTGGCAACCCCAGTCGCCGTCCCTTCCAGCGGCACCTACGGCGGCGATCAGGTCGATAGCGGCGGCGGCGGCGGTGACCAGGAGGAGGAGAACTGCCGCGCCGCCGCTCGCCGCGCGGCAACGGCCGCCGCAGCCTTCGTGGCGTCACGGAACGGCTTCAGCAGCAGCGGCGGCGGCAGCGATAGCAGCGTCAGCAGAGGGCAAGAAGAGATGGCCAGCACGAGACAAGAAGAAGAAGAACACTGCCGCGCGGTGCAGGCTCTGGCCATCGACGTGGCGCGGTCCTTATCGTGGACCACCGGCGCCGCCGCCGCCGCGGCCGCCGCCTCCCCGGTGCTTGAGCTCCCGGTCCTCCGCACACACGCGAGGCGCCCGTCGCAGTCGAGCTACGGCGACAGCGGCAACGAGGACGGGGCCGGAAGCCACAGGGACAACACGGACCTGGTGTATCTGTCCGAAGTGTCCGACTCGGACTTGTCTGCGATCCTCACGGCCTCCTTATCGGGCATGCCCTTCAACGACGCGGTGTTTGGAAGCGGCGACGGGAACGTCGATGTCGGGGGCGATGTAGCAGATTGCAGCCCCGGAGGGAAGGTGTGGGCGGCGACGACCTTTCCCAGAGAGAACACCGAGGTCGCGGAGGATATCAGGGTGGTGGCGGCGGCGGCGTTGGAAAAGGAGGGGGAAGAGGAGGAAGAAAAGGTCGACCCGGCCGTGCTCAGCAGGTGGGCAGAGCTTTGGTACCACGTCGTACGTATTTCCCGCGGCAGGCCGGACTTGTTTCTTTGACCCTTCCAAAGTACTTCGTGTACATGCATGTAACTGTCACTGAAACGCTAGACCAGTTTGAGTGAGATTGTACCACTTGTGGTGCTTTGGGTTGTGCGTCTTCTTAACCCTCCTATTGTAGTACCCAGTCCGTCCGCAATAAAAAAATGTCGCAAATTTGTTTGTCAGCCATTGGTCGACGAGGGGCTACAGTCCCTCCAAAGAATCTGAGCTCCTTGCCAGACAAAGGGTGACTTGGCTTCAGTATGAACAGTGTCCCCAACACACGTGGGGACACATTTCATACTGGAGCCAAGTCAGCAAATTTTTCCAGTACCAGGCGGTGTACAGTTTTACGACCTAGGGGGCAAGCGTGTTGGGAGATGTGTACAGCAAGTCAGAGGCCCAGGAGAGGCATCACACAGCATATCACACGGCGTACCACCTCAGCCAAGCATGATAGACGAAAGGTTCTAACGTGCGTTGCACACAGCGGGGACTAGGGTGACTACAGTGCCGTGAATATGTAGGCATTTGAGTCCTGTGTCCCCAAAGTGTCCCCATTACTAGGAGGGAATAAAAAGAGAGTCCCGTATTTTTTTTCTGGGGCGGGGTGTGGAAGTCAGAGAGGCTATTTTATCGATGGACGGGTTCTCACGACGAGCAACCTGTAGTTTTTAGTTCCCGTTTTTTCAGAAACCGAGAGGATCACTTGGCGTGGTGAGTGTTTATGCTCTTCTTGTCTCTCGTTGCATCTGGTCTTGAGCTTTTGTTGCAAGCCAAGGTTGGCGGAGGCCATGTGTTTGTACTGGAGATGTTCATTTCGCTGACGAGTGCTGAGTTACATGTGTTTTTTTTTCGTTTTGGAGCCCAGCTAAATTTTTTCCGAGACTAGAACTCTCAGAGAGGAGGCAGAGTATTGCGTACAGCTTCACGCGCCCAATCCTACTAGCGTGCTACTACGCTACAGCTTCGTACCATAACAACAACAACAACACCATATCGTGTCGCCCCGGCCCCGCTCCTCCCTTAACCAATCTTCGTTAACGCCCCAAGCGGAACGAGCACTGACACCGACGGCAGCGTTGACCACCAACGGCGAGGGGGTGAGGTCTCCCCTGCTGACAGCGCGGGGTCTGGCACAACTTGGAGACGGGACGGTGACGTGCTGGTGCGTTTTTTTTTCTCCGTCGCCTGCAGGTTCTTTTTCCTTTCTTTGGTGGAATTTTCTCGTGTTCGTCGTTGCAAGAATAGATGTGCTTCTTCATGCATCGAATTAGATACGCTTCTTCATGCATCGAAAAAAGATATGCTTCCTCATGCACCGAAAAGTGTTCATGTCGTGACATGAATGCAAGAGTTTCTTGTGTAGATTTGTATCTGAAGGGGTTTTTCCTTCTCACGACATTATCGAAAAATGTTCTCGTCGTGACATTCTGAGATAGTAACGTGCCGTGTGGGTTGTTCGTCTGGTTTTAACGACGGCACGCCTTGACGACCTCTGTTTTGCTCGCAACATTGAACGAAAAAATAATAAAAAAAGATTCGGAACAGAGACAAGAAGGATCGGGCTAGCGTGAACGTTATCGAGGCCATAGCTAGCGGAGCCAAGTGCCTGGAGACTGCACCCTGCAAACGCGATGCTGCTGGTGACGGTGCCAACAGCAACCAGGGGCTAGACCTGGGTCAGGATGGGGGCAGCAACGGCTCGGGCTCACCCGCGAAGACGTGAGTACGAGCCACGGTGGGAGGGGGGGCGGGGGGGTACGCATAGTCGTGCATGCCGTAGTCGTTAGACCATTGACCTCGTATCCCTACAGCCGGGACGGGGCACGCCAGGTTCTCACCGACCAGGCTCTCACATGACGAAGCGCGGAGCGCCGTGAGGTATCCCGCGAGTCGCATGGAGGGTGCGCTGCATCCTGCCAC